TTGCAGGGCACTGACCGCACCTTGGTTCCGATGTGGTTGAAATGATAATGTTCTCCTGTGATGTTCTTTAAATAAACGTATTCTCTCTCTAATGATGATGGAATTGGGCATTTACCTGCTGTATTTAGAAATGTATGTTCATTCTGAAGGATATTGACACCACCTCTCCATTATTTTCTGTGCGTTCTTAAGGAAAGAAAAGCAGTCTGGCCATTATGTTGCTGTGTGTCTAGACACTCCTGGGTGCCAAACCCATTAACCCAAAGACCCAACAGCCAGTGGGCTTTCATCGTCTGACTAAAAGCTGTCTGCTAGTATGGAATACATACCACCAGGGGCACAGAGAAATGAACCGAGAGAAAAAGACATACAGACAGAATGTACCTTGTTGAGCCATTATACTGAGTATCATGTTGTTTCTGCACCGACCTGCCAAGGCATGGAGTCTACAAAAGCCCTGAAGGTGACCTGGGATTTCTGGCACCATGGCATTAGCAGCAGATACTTCAAGTCCTGTTCGCTGCAAGGAGGAATGACCGTGGATCAGACTTGCATGTCCAGCACAAACCCTGGGGATTTAGGAGGCCAAGGCCTTGAACTTTTTAGCATCATGTTCTTTGAACCAAACAATGTGTGCAGTGTGGTACTACACATTATTCTGCCCAAAGAGGCCACTGCCATCAATGTTTTTGTAGGTGGCATGTGTCAAATTGAGTCCCAATGAATGCCCGGACACAGGGTTCTCCCAGCAGAACATTACCCAGAGCATCACATTCCCTCCATTTGTTCTGGGTAATGTTCTGCTGGGAGAACCCTGTGTCCGGGCATTCATGTGGAAATCAATTTGAATGTTCCACCTCAATGTTTTAGAGATGTTCTAACTCAATCTGACTATTAGAATATGACACTTAGTCAAAATCACTTAGGTCGTCACTCCTGCCATATTCTCCAGCATCTAACACATTGACTACGAGAACTTTATTTACCATCCAATCTACCCAGACCTTAAACCATGCCCTAGTTAGGAGACAGGCAACATTATTCGCTACATCCCTTATGTTTGGCTTTACAGTGTATCTGTATTCAATTGCATGAATGAGTTTTTAGTCTCTGAGGAATGAACCCATATTTGAATAATGAATTTAAACGGCTCTGCAGGGTTGCCACACATATAAGAACCTCGAATAAGAACCATCAGGACACGATCATGCAGTCCAATTCATCCTACATGAATATTACGTTTCCAGGGCAGCTGAATAGAGAATATCTAGGAATCATGAGAGAATAAGCAGAAAACTCCATACTTCTGGAAAACCTAGGGTCCAGTCAATTACTGGACATTTCTGTCTAGTATAGATGACACACATCAAACGGTGTTACAGTGGAAAGTGATTGACAATGTGCTGCTATGTGCCTTTTTAAAGGTTAAGGGGCTCAGTGGAGATGTGTTAACGAGGTCCACAGTGACCATTATAATACCACCAAACCCAATATTCTGTCTTTCAACCCGTTATGTTTCCAAGTACTTAAACTTTGTCTACACATACTATATCTAGTGACAGTTCTGCCTCCACAGCTGCCCTGCCTCCACAGCTGCCCTGCCTCCACAGCAGCCCTGCTTCCACAGCTGCCCTGCCTCCACAGCTGTCTTGCCTCCACAGCTGCCCTGCCTCCACCGCTGCCCTGCCTCTCACAGCAGCCCTGCCTCCACAACAGCCCTGCCACCACAGCTGTCCTGCCACCACAGCAGCCCTGCCACCACAGCAGCCCTTCCTCCACAGCTGCCCTGCCTCCACAACAGCCCTGCCTCCCCAGCTGCCCTGCCTCCACAGCAGCCCTGCCCCCACAGCTGCCCTGCCTCCACAGCTGCCTTGCCCCTGCCTATGGATTGTATTCTGTATATCTGTTCACAGCTGTAGGTTGTTAGACCAGTGTTGACAGAAACAACCATAGCCTGTAGCTGTAAGTCTGACTCCACATAGCATAGATGACCAGTAGATGACCAGTTCTCCAGGAAGATTCACTCTGGGACATTTCTTAAGAGTTGTTACGGCCAGACTATTGGGTCAGAGCATCTCTGAAACAACCGTGGTCCCGGTCAGTAGTGGTGAGTACCTACCCACAGTGATCAGAGGTGGGACAAACCACAAACCGGCAACAGGGTTCCCAAGACAGAAGATAGAGGCTGAGAGGCAACAAAGGCTTTCTTTCAGGTCCGAACAGACATACGTTCTACTGTGGCACAAGTACAGGAGGAATGTGTCACAACACATAATGTATCTGCTGTGTATGGAGCTGCTGTGTATGGAGCTGCTGTATATGGAGCTGCTGTATATGGAGCTGCTGTGTATGGAGCTGCTGTGTATGGAGCTGCTGTGTATGGAACTGCTGTGTATGGAACTGCTGTATATGGAGCTGCTGTGTGTGGAGCTGCTGTGTGTGGAGCTGCTGTATATGGAGCTGCTGTCTGTGTGGAGCTGATGTGTGTGGAGCTGCTGTATATGGAGCTGCTGTATATGGAGCTGCTCATGAATGTAATAATGTTTTGGGGAAAAACTATTTGTTTTTGGGTCTGTTTATTTGCCTGATGGATATGGACAATGAATAGAATTTCTGGATATGATTACTCAACTAGAAACTAGACGACAGGCTGGCAGGCAGATATACTGTAGTAGTCATTTGCACACCTGTCATATCTGTCTGGAAATGCAGTAAAGGTAATTCAGTCACATTTAGTATGATATACTGTCAGCACCTAATGGTGTAACTAACAAGTTAATGTGTCTAAGTGGTTGTGATTGTAGAGTTACAATACACAGACTTTGGTGATATGAACAGCCTAGCAGTTATTCAAATTAGACATCTATTTGTATGTAACTATATCAAGATGCTTCTAACATCAAGAGTAAATATAAAAGAATATAAAGCAAGCAGAAATGAAGACTAACTGTCGGGGTTCATTCATATTTGTTTTTGCACATATTTCTAGTTGTTCAGTTACAAGGTTACCTTACTGTACAACATATGCGAACTCTAGCCAGCACCAACAAGAGATCTTCAAGCTTTCCGATTTCATGCACATAATACAGTTTAATTTGGCCCACATGTTCAGTTGTGTTCAGAACAGCGATCTGTTTCTTCAGGGCGACCTTTACTCATGGATACCAGACCACTGATCTGACCTTAGAGCTTCCAACTGTAATGTGAGCTCCATTTCTGAAGTCCTCTCATCTCCTGACTTTTCTAAACCCATTTGATTTAAAGGTGAGAGTGTGTTTATCTTTGTTGATCTCATCCAAGACGAGGACCCAAAATGTAAAAGAAAACGATTAGACTCAATCAATGATAGACTGGACCAGCCACATCAACATCCATTACAGTCCATAAAGAAAACCCTCCAGAGTGTGTAAACGCTTGTAGCGATGAGAAGGTTTGCCAGGTAGAAACACGATGAGAGCTCCACCTCTTAAGCCTTATATAAAGACTAGATGTGTGACCTGGGTCGATGAGTTAGGCAGATGTGTTTTTTTCATTTCATTCACACTCTTATTTGCACTGGTGTACGCTTGGCACATTCACTAAGTTCTATCAGGCTTGGTTCCTGGTAGGTGGGTATCTGCTAAATCACAGTGGTGAACTGAACACAATTAGGGTCCCAATGAAACACTTTAAAAGTGTTTGTGTTAAATTAGGACTTTAACAACGTACCCTTAAAACTGGCTTCCTAAATCAGGGGGTCTATTTCCTTGATTGCAAATGTCGAAAATGGCCAACGTAATCTGATGACGGGTGCCACATTTTTGTACCAGCAGAACTGCACCAAGGTCCCTGGAATGTTTTTTCCATTTTCCCCATGGAAAAGAGAACTACAGTCTGAGTGTGAGATGAAGCGTGGCTCAGCCCAATGACAGACTGGGTTACTAAGGAATTCAATAAAAGCAGCCATAGTAATGATAGAAGAAGCACAACCCCTTTGGAGGCCAGAGAAACACCATGACCTCTATGTTCCTCATACCATTCTGAAACACTGTGTTCAGTGTGGCCACATCCTCCTGCATAAACAGGCCACTGACATCAGTGTTAAACCTTTAAATCACTGTTGTGAAAAATAACGATAACAGTGCCATTGCATTATTGTGTTTGATGATATTTCACCGCTGATGTTCAATGAATGATTGAAGATGTGCGTTACCACAGCAACCATCGGTATGCAGCACATTTCCTTTCATTTTTTAAATATTCACGTCATGTCACAATTTGGCTGAAATGTGGTCTTCAATCCTTCCAGTCATGAGAGATACTAAATGATACTCATTGCGAGCAGCCCTGTAGACGTCACATATTGGACAGCCTGTCATTTCTTCCTAGGTGCTTCATACACAAGGATATGATAAATATATTCCATATCGAATACTTAAACAATAAGGCTCTATGTCTAATGAACCATGGCTAAGAGTTGTTCATTGGCCCAATGCTTAACAGAGTGCCTGTACACAACTCAGAACCGTACACCAGTAACTCCAGGATACCGTATTGACATGGTTATGGTTAACGAACCCATACAAACCTTCTGCACGAGCACCTGTCCATCTATGAGGAACTGAAAACTCTACAGTAACCTTTTCATCATGAAACATAAATCAGCAGACTGCTGCCCTCAAATAACACTGAGTTGTTTCTTCTGAAAATGTCAAGTGCGATGTTTGTAATTTATAAGGCATCCATGAAAACCTAGTCACATTCCAAAATAATGAATATTATTGCAGCTTTCTCAGTCTATCATTGTTCCCCATTCTTTGGACAATTTCAGTTGTCTGCAGCTATCAGTGGTAGAGTGCATGCTCTGTCTGTATGATGTCCTGGGTTCCTATTGGAGGAGTTGGTATCTCAGTGGTAGACTGCATGCTCTGTCTGTATGATGTCCTGGGTTCCTATTGGAGGAGTTGGTATCTCAGTGGTAGAGTACATGCTCTGTATGTAGGATGTCCTGGGTTCCTATTGGAGGAGTTGGTATCTCAGTGGTAGAGTGCATGTTCTGTGTGTATGATGTCCTGGGTTCAATCCCCAGCTCCTCCCCGGGTCACCGTAAACAAATGAGAATTCGTTCAGAATCGGCTTAACTGGTTAAATTAAGGTTAAACAAAAATATCACATTTTGACAGGGGGTAGAGTCGTTCAATACCAACAGATCAATAGATTTAAATCTAAACATTGACCAACGGGCTCAGTGATTTGGTGGGCAAGACAGTCGACTCAAATTTGACACCCACTGAAACATTGTTTGAGTCAGGAATCATAACATTGTTCCAGCCCGTTTAGGGTTGTCATCAGGTTTGCCAAAAAGCTCGGCTTTACCATCTTGGGGGGGGGGGTTGGTACGCAATTAGAACAAAAAATGCGTCATGGAAATAAAGTATCAGAGTCCCAGCAGCTAATCAATTGGGGCTGACCTTTAAGGTTACTCAAATCTCACTGAGGAAAACATCAGGGACCTGGTAGAGTCCAATGGACCAGTAAGAGCAGCGTGACAGAGCAGCGTGACAGAGCAGCGTGACAGAGCAGCGTGACAGAGCAGCGTGACAGAGCAGCGTGACAGAGCAGCGTGACAGAGCAGCGTGACAGAGCAGCGTGACAGAGCAGCGTGACAGAGCAGCGTGACAGAGCAGCGTGACAGAGCAGCGTGACAGAGCAGCGTGACAGAGCAGCGTGACAGAGCAGCGTGACAGGCTGACTCACAGCCCACACTAGGAACATATTTTTTTCCAAACAGAAAACCATTGCCAGCATACAATAACTAATTTTGAGTACTTGTTCCTACATAACATGGAAACACACACACTGTGACTGTACACACACACACACACTTGTTCCTATATAACATGGAAACACACACACTGTGACTGTGTACACACACACACACACACACGTTCCTCCATAACATGGAAACACACACACACAGTGACGGCTCACACATTCATCATGTATGCTGTGTGACAAATGCAATTTGATGAAAACTGGTCATGCTTTTAATATATACAGTTATTATGATAATATTCACGGTTTGAAGCTTGAAACCTTTCTAAGAGCATAATTGCCACCAGATGTTCACTGTTTTGCTATATTTGCCATACCACACGTGGGGTGAGATTGCTCTGAAGGCGGGGTTAGATTGCTCTGAAGGTGGGGTTAGATTGCTCTGAAGGCGGGGTTAGATTGCTCTGAAGGCGGGGCAAATCCATTGTCTCTCTTGATAGGCCGAGGAAGATTGAGCTGGCACTGGCTACGCAAATGGGTTCACATATTTTAGACACTAGGTCCAACACGGCCCCATAAATGGGGAAAGAGGGCGCTTCCAGAATGGCGAAGATTTAAATCATTTAATGTTAAGCCGTTCCTATACCGGGCAATACCAGGCCAAAAAATAAATAAACAGAACTGGTTTAAAATGGGTAAAAGGGTTACTTTTTGTTCAAGACTCATGTATATACTTACAATATTTATTTCACAAACAGAAAAGATTAAAAGCATTTTAAAGTAGACAGAATTTCCACTTGTCCATGAAACGTTTATGTACAGTTCAAATACAGTTCACATGCAAATCTTCAAAAAAACGAACTTTCAAAACTAATTTGTTTTATTATTTTTCTAAAACAGACGGTCGAAATCACAAAAAACAAATATACACTTCCTATTCAAATGTTAGGGGCACTTGGAAATGTCCTAGCTTTTCATGAAAATATACATGAAATAAGTAGGTTGTTTAGCAAAATGAATAGGAAATACAGTAACTCACAGGAGATAGTTACATATAGTTTACTATTCCATTTGCAGCCATAACAGCCGTGCAGACCTTGGGCATTCTATTGATCTTGCTCAATTTGTTGAGGTAATTTCCAAAGGAAGCTTCCAAAAGAAGCTTAAAGTTTTTCCTGGCAAAGCAACCTTTCCAAGGAGTGATCATATTCAGAGTGTGTTTGTCATCTTTTGATATTGAGTATAACCTCTGTCTCCTTATTAGATATTGACATCCTTAGTTGCCCGTTGTTCAATAGATGGAGACAAAACCTACACCCTCTTCACTGTATCCGGGCACGACAAAAGCATGTATCCCATCAACCAAGTGATGTGTATAATCTCTGTGACCTGTACTTACATTCAGGGCAATTGAATGTGACTATAGATGATAACTTGTTTACCCCAGGTAGTGCCACTTCAATAACTCAACGGTCCTATTGTTTGTAAACTTCTGATTCATTGGGAATGTGATTAAAGAAATGAAAGCTGAAATAAATTATTATGTCTATTATTATTCTGACATTTCACATTCTTAAGATAAATTGGAAATCCTAACTAAACCAAGACCGGGAATACTGACTAAGATTAAACGTCAGGAATTGTGAAGTGAGTTTAAATGTATTTGGCTACTTTCCAATTTCAACTGTATATCTTTACTCTGTCTCTTGAAATACCTTTGTTTCCATCATGTTGTTTTGTACTGGGGTGATTCTCTGCTTATAAGCATAAAATACTGTTAATGCGTTAAGAAAATGTTGCCTCGGTCTTACCTAAATGCCAAATAAGATACACAGTGAATACCAGGAATAAGCAACCCTGTTTCTGGAATGCTGCAGTACTTTATGACCTTGTTTCAACCGTTTTAGTAATTACCTAAATTTAACACACCTGGTATTCCAGAAGTGTTACATCAAGTGCCTGTGGAACTTCAGAGACTGGGTTGCTTACTCCTGGGGCGAACCCATAAAAAGAAATCCCAAAACAAAGCAATATTTATAAAATCCCAAATAGGTACAACCATGTATGAATGCATTGCATAACTAGGTATATTCTGAAGATACAGTAAATGAACATAAACAAGACATTAAGAAAAGTTCAGCATTCCTCATCACATTTTCCGGGTTCGTTTACCCAGGACAAGAGGTTGATCCGAATCGTGTTCCCTGGAGCAGGAAGCCCGCTTCCCACTGGAGGATTTCTCCAAAACTCTGAAAAAGAGAATAATTCTCTTAAATGAGTCTGGGACTTTTGCTTGCATCAAAGCCCCAGCTAAATGAAGCATAAAGGCCAAATCACAGTATAATGGTAGGAGATTTCACTGACTAATGGACAGAAACAGGTGTCTATTTCCCTCAAGTCGTTGTCGTCATTTTATTTTCCAGGAAGCATCGCAGTTAACATGTTAAAGAACACACATATCACAGTTATAGCACATTTGCAAAACTGATCTCCATTTTGATAAAGACATGATAAAGATGGAGCTGGTTCCACAACTGAGGTGTGAGAACAGAGAACATTTTGTTATTTTCCCGTCTCAGAGTTCCTCTGTGACCATATAGATATTGCAGACAGTGTGGTCGTGTGGAGGTCATGTTAGCCAGGACACAGAATCTCCTGCGCTGTCAGACTTTGTGAGACTTTTCTGGAGGGGATTAAGTTTAGACACGTCCCTGGTTAAACCCCTTCATGTCACTAATTCCATTCATGTGTTCTTCCTTAAGTATGCATTCGATCTGTCTCATCTCAACACCATAAATAATTAAAAAATCTGCTAATTTGGCATACAGTTGGCTGTAGGTCAGTAATGTTAAGCAATAGTCCAATCCTTTATGATTAAATTATATCTTTTTATCTCCTTAAAATTCATTAACACAAAGAGAGATAAACTTTCCGAAATGGCTGATCCAGATGGAATTAATTTCCCCACAGTGACATTTCAACCTTTCTAGTATCTAGGCAACTGTGGTGGCAGAAGGTTTTTTTGACAAATGCTGACAAATGAAAACAAATGTGTGGAGTTTTTCATGACTATACTATATGACATCAAAAAGGTCATGGGAAATAATATTTAAAGCCAAAAGCATTTCTTAAGACATATAGAACCAGTGTAATGTTTGGACACACCTCTTCATTCAAGGGGTTTTCGATTTTTTTTTCCTTAAGACAGGGGTGTCCCAAGTCCGGCCCGCGGGCCAGTTTTTATTGGCCCGCAGCAAATTCTGAAAATATAATTGAATATGGCCCGCACAAGAAGATTGAGCTCAACTCTGTTGCACTTCTCAGTTTCAACACTAGTTGGAGCCAGCCATGGAAACGGTGCTTTTCCACTAAACAAAATTAAGCAAACAAAAACTTTTACTGCGAGTCACCAGAAATGGCAGCACCAAAGAAACGCAAAATAGCAAGTGAGTGTAGAAGATTTCAAACACAGTGGGAAAATGAATATTTCTTCAAAGAAATCAACGTAAAGTGTATCTGTTTGATTTGCAATGAGTTGCTGTGATGAAAGAGTATAATGTCCGTCAGCACTATGAGACCAAACATCAGAGCTACACATCAGTACACCAGTGCCGAACGAACGCAGAAAGTCAAGCAAATGGCAGCTAGCCTGCAAGCTCATCAACAGGTGTTTTTTCGTGCTAACAAAATAAAGGAAAACGCCACCACAGCAAGCTATAAGGTCGCTAAACATATGGCCCAGCACGCCAAACAGTTCTCAGACGGTGATTTCATAAAGCAGTGCCTCAAAGTCACAGCAATAATGTGCCCGGAAAAAGTTCCGGATTTCAACAACGTGAGCTTATCCAGAAATACAGTGGTGCGGAGAATCGAGGACTTGTCAGCTAACTGGAAACTTCAGCTGAGAGACAAAGCTAGTGCTTTTGATTTGTACTCGATAGCATGCGATTGGTTATGGATAGGGTTAGCGATAAGAGCACAGATGCCACAGACACCGCGCAGCTGTTAATGTTTTGCGGGGAGTAGATGGTCATTTTTGCTGTACGGAGGAGCTGCATGATATGAGGAGCCTAAAAGGCACAACGACGGGCAGAGATATTTTTGAAGCTGTGTCGGAGGCAGTTGGAAAGATGGGGCTTAAATGGGACAAACTCAGTGGAGAAACAACGGATGGAGCTCCGGCCATGACGGGCGTAAAAACTGTCAACATAATCCGAGCTAGAGGACAGCACAGTTCTTCACATTATAGGTGAGTTAGAAATACACACAGTATTCATGTGTTAATGTCACCTCTAGTGTGCGGCCCGGCCCTTTGTTTATTT